AATAACCTCCGTCTCCAAGACAGCACCTCATGGTGCCAGTTTTTTCTTCACGGGAATGCCATGTGGACTACTGCAGGTCACGGTTCTGAATGCCGTTCCAGTTATGGTTTCGGTTTCCGTCTTTTTCGAAGCCAAGGAAGCTGCAGGTCACGGTTTTTGGTTCCGTTTCCGGTTCTGGTTCCGGTTTCCTTCTTCTTCGGGGTCCCACAAAAGGCCCCAAGGTCACGGTTTTGGTTCCGGCTCCGGTTCCGGTTCCGGTTTCCTTCTTCTTCGGAGCACAAATAAACCTACCAGGTCACGGCTTTGGTTCTGGTTCCGGTTCCGGTTCCGGTTTCTTTCTTCGTCGGGCTCCCGAAGACCCCCCGGTCACTGTTTTGGTTCCGGTTCCGGTTCTGGTTCCGGTTTCCTTTTCTTCGGGGTCCCAAAAAGACCCCCCAAGGTCACGGTTTTGGTTCCAATTTTGGTTTGGTTCCGGTTTCTTTCTTCTTCGGGGTCCCAAAAAAAAAACCTTCCAGGTTACGGTTTGGTTTTGGTTCCGGTTCCGGTTCCGGTTTCCTTCTTCTTCTTCGCCCCAGAGAAGACCCTCAGGTCACGGTTTTGGTTCCGGTTCCGGTTTTGGTTCCGGTTCCTTCTTCTTCGGGGTCCCAAAGAAGACCTTCCAGGTTACGGTTTTGGTTCTGGTTCCGGTTCCGGTTCCGGTTCCGGTTTCCTTCTTCTTCTCCGCCCCAGAGAAGACCCTCAGGTCACGGTTTTGGTTCCGGTTCCGGTTTTGGTTCCGGTTTCCTTCTTCTTTCGCCCGCAGAGAAAACCTTTAGGTCACGGTTTTGGTTCCGGTTCTGGTTCTGGTTCCGGTTTCTTTCTTCTTTTTTCGTTTGAGACGGTCGTCGTGGTTCCGGTTCCGGTTCCGGTTCCGGTTCCGGTTCCGGTTTCTTTATTTTTCTCGGTGCCCAGGGGCGCCTCCGGTCATGGTTCTGGTTCCGGTTCCGGTTTCGGTTCCGGTTTCCTTCTTCTTCCCCGCCCCGAAGAAGGCCTCCTAGGTCACGGTTCTGGTTCCGGTTCCGGTTCCGGTTTTGGTTCCGGTTTCCTTTTTCTTCTTTGGTTCGAGGGGCTCCCGAGGTCCTGGTTTTGGTTCCGGTTCTGGTTTTGGTTCCGGTTTGCGTTTGCCTTCTTCCGGCGCTCTTCTGTTCTGGTTTTGGTTCCGGTTCCGGTTCCGGTTCCGGTTCCGGTTTCCTTCTTCTTTCCCCTCCCGAAGAAGGGCGCCGAAACCACCACCAAAACCACACTCGAAAATGTGGCTGCGGCCTAGGCGCGGGGGGGGGGGCGTGCACCAGGGGGCCCAACAATAATTATTTTTTAGAATTAATAATGTTCAACAACAACAACCACAACAACCACAACAACCACAACAACAACAACAACAACAACAATGACAACGACAACGACAACGACAACAATGACGACAACGACAACGACATCAACAACAGCAACAATAAATTTAAGACTGTTCGCTCTTATCTGCTAGACTGTCCGTTAACGCGTATTTCCCAAACCTTTCTTCCCTGCAGGCCGGGCCCTGGCAAGCGGCGGGGCGGCCGCGGCCCGTCGGCCTGGCCAGCGGCAGCGCTGATCGGCGGCAACCCGACCCCAAGAGGGACGGACAGGGGACCGACCACGACGACGACGACGACGCGGCGACGACGACGACGTCAACGACGTCGACGACGACGGCGACGACGACGGCGACGACGACGACGACGAGCGAAAGCGAGAGCGAGAGAGAGAACGACAGCAGGGCCACGAAGGGCATGAAGTAGGCCACGAAGGGCGACAGCGGGGACACGAAGGGAATGCGTATGGGGCCACGAAGAGCGCGAACGAGGGGGGGGCACGAAGGGCAGATAATGCGGGGCCACAGAGAGCAACGACGGGGCCACTGAGGGCAGCAACTGGGCCATGTAGGATAGCGAGGGGGCCACGAAGGGCGACAGCGGGGCCACGAAGGGCATGCATATGGGGCCACGACGGGCGCGAACGAGCGGGGGCCACGAAGGGCATACATAAATTGGACCACAAAGGGCAGCAAGGGGGCCACGAATGGCTGCAACGAGGCACGAAGGGCAGCGAGGGGGCCACGAGGGGCTGCAACGGGGCCACGAAGGGCAGCGAGGGGGCCACGAGGGGCTGCAACGGGGCCACGAAGGGCAGCGAGGGGGCCACGAAGAGCTGCAACGGGGCCACGAAGGGCTGCGAGGGGGCCACGAAGGGGTGCGACGGGGCCACGCAGGGAAGCGATGGGGGCCACGAGGGGCTGCAACGGGGCCACGAAGGGCAGCGAGGGGGCCACGAAGGGGTGCAACGGGGCCACGAAGGGCAGCGAGGGGGCCACGAAGGGCTGCAACGGGGCCACGCAGGAAAGCGAGGGGGCCACGAAGGGCTGCAACGGGGCCACGAAGGGCAAGGAGGGGGTCACGAAGGGCTGCAACAGGACCACGACGGGCAGCGAGAGGGCCACGAAGGGCTGCAACGGGCCCACAAATGGCAGCGAGGGGGCCACAATCGGCTACAACGAGGCCACGAAGGGCAGCGAGATCCCAATTCGTAAGAAATCTGTGAGGGAGTCCTAAGCGTGAGCGCGACTCCTGGGTGCCTGAGTGTCGGGAGCGCGGCGCTTGGGTAAATTGCGGGAAACTCCAACGCAAGGGCGCTATTCCTGAGTAAGTTGCCAGCAAGTCTCCAGCGAGAGCGCGACTCCAGAGCGCCGAGAGAGCGATTCCCGAATAAATTGTAAGGAAGTCCGAAGCGAAAGCGTGATTCCTTAATCAAATGCGAGGAAATCTCGGGCGGGAGCGAGGGTCCTGGCTGAATTGCGAGGACGTCTCAGGCGGGAGCCGCTGTTGTTGTAACCCGGGGGGCCAACAACACAGTTGGAGGAGGAACACTTCCCCTGATACAAAAAAAAACTGGGTGCGAGCGCCGGGAAGGGCACTTCAATTAGGTACAATGTGCCCCGGAGGGGGGATCAAAAATCATTATTCTCCAGTAGCGAGAGTTCTTCTTCTTCTTCAACAGCAGCAACAGCCACAGCAACAACAACAACAACAACAACAACAGCAGCAGCAGCAGCAACAACAACAGCAGCAGCAGCAGCGACGACGACGACGACGACGACAATAACATCCTTCGCGAATTGCTCAAAACTCGAGGGGGTCTAGGCTGTCCCCTCTTGGCATGCCCGAACTGGGGGTGGTACAGAAAAAGTGGGTACGCTGCCCAACAACCAATAGCGGCAGGTGGTGGACAGGCGACCCAAAGACTCAAATGGACGACGCCCGCGGCGACACCGACGGGGGGCCGTCCAAAATGGACAGGGACTGTTGTCGTTCTTCTGGGCCCCTCGGCTACACACAGGAGTGACCCTGGGCAAGAGAGTCCTTTGGTGCGCGGCTTTTGGGGCGCAAAACCCAGGCGCGCAAGCCGCTGCTATCGCATCGCATTCCGCGGTCTGGGGACCCCAGTGGGCCCGCACCAAAAGTCGTTCCGCCGGCGGGCCACTCTTACGTCTAGTCGGGCCCCCGCTCCTCCCAGACTGAGGGGCAACGTTTAGGGGAGCCAGCGCACAGGGGGAAACATCGACCTGGCATCGGCCATACATCGCCGATAGCTTGGCGATGAACCCTCGACAGCGAAACTGCACGTTCCTGGGCGGGCCAGGCTGTCGGGGCTCCTTATCTCGCCGATCCAAGGGCGACTGGGGGTCGATGCCTTCCCCCCGCCCCGTGAGCCTGCACGCCCCGTGACCGGGTTATCACTCAAGCCTCCGCCAGCTGTTCGGCACGATCCGGGTACCCCTGCAGGACGCCTCTCGGCGAGGCGCAGCCGCCGTAGAGCACCCCGAGGCTGGAAGACCGCCAAGAAACCAACGGTAGAACGCCGAAAAAACCCGAACCTCGACGACTTCCCCCCTAACGTTGCCCCTGAGCGAGGTGGTCCTCCCAGAGGAGCCCCCCCCCGCTCGGGGTGAGGATCGCTGAGCCTGGCCCCATCCCCACCACTGGCATGGTCTTGACCCCGCTGACCGAGTTCACTCCCTAGATCGGAGATGTACACACGGTTCCCTTCGATTCTCGCAGGGCGTATCCCCATCCTGGGGGGTGGGCTGGCGGGACTGAGATGGACCACGGCTCAGTGGGGCTGGGGATACGGTGAAGGCATTGGACGAGGAACCATCGGATAAGGAATCCGGGTGGGGGACACCAATTGAGCGACGAAGAGAAACAGGTCTTACGCGAGAAGACATAGCCGACCTCACGCCGCGGCTTTCGCGGGCCGCCAACGTAGCAGACCGCGTGGAGAAGAGGGCGCTTACACGCGGCCTTACGCGGGAAGCTTGCGCGCGAACGTCGGCGCAGCCGACCCCTTTTCTCTTGTGTCGCTCAATTGGGGCTTGGCCATGGATATGAACGCCGCCCTCATCAGACAAGGACCCCCCAGGGTCTGAAGCCTCCTGAGCACGTTCCTTAACCCACGCCTACACCTTAGGTGCGGCTGGGAGGTCTGTACTGGTTGGAACACAAGAAAATCTTCCAGGAGGGGGTTTGAACCCAAATCCGCTCAAAATCAGTGCCCAACATGGATCCACTGTTCACGGCCAGGGCCCAAAAACATCCCCCGAAGGCCGAACAACAACCAGCCAAAAACAAACAAGAAAGATCCCGAACCCAGAACCTCGAACCTGCCTGCCCTCCCTGCTCGCCGGAACCAGTGCTGGGCCACCTCTACCCCCAGCCAGCTCCAAGCCCCACTGTTGGGGACACCAACAGCTACCGATACTGCTACTCCCTGGACCCTTCCCGGGGTGCGTTCTGACCCGAATTTCGAGGCGAATCCAGCGGTGGCGACGAGGGCCTCCTAGAAGGACCAAAAAGGGACGAGGCAAGGGCAGTGGCATGGGTACCTGCTCCCCCTCTGAACCGCAGCGCAAAACGGTGCTGGCGAGGAGCTCCTGGCGCCCAACCGCCCCGAGGCGCGCCGCCACGTCGAAGGGGAACTCCATGGCGGAGGAGGAGAAGGAGGAGGAGGAGGAGGAGGAGAGGGAGGAGGAGGGGGAGGAGGGGGAGGAGGAGGAAGGACAAGGAGGAGGAGGAGGACCAGTGCAAACCCAAGCGTCATCAACGATGTTGGAATCAACCCTCCCTCCAAGCTCCCTCTCTATAGGCCCCTACAACGGTTCACTTCCGCTGAGAGAACTGCCTCGTTGGAAGACAACCGTTTGAAGACCCTGAAGCATGCCAAGACATTGTTCTCGGGATTCCAACACCACGGGTCAACCTGACTGTTGCGTCTCGACGATCCTGAATCGTGCCAGAGCGCCAGTCTTGGGACTTCAACACCGCGAATCAACGTAACTGTTGCACCCTCATAACCCTGAATCCGTCCAGAACACCATTTGTGGTACGTTGGTCATGGAAATCAGTGAAAATCAAATAAAGAACGAATGTGCGCGGCGCTGAAGCGAGAGCGACATTTTGAAAACAACCAGCCATCCATCCGTGAAACTCTTGCAAACTTGTAAACAGACTGTGCGCGGCGCCAAGGCGAGAGCCACATGTTGAAAACGGGCCGCCCTCCATCCGTGAAACGCTTGCAGATGTTTAAAACGAATGTGCGCGGCGCCAAACCTATAGACACATTTTGAAAACGGCCCACGCTCCATCCGTGAAACTCTTGGAAGTGCTTAAAACGAATGTGTGCGGCGCTAAAGCGAAGAGCCACAGTTTGAAAGCCACCCGCCTTCCATCCGTGAAACTTCAGCAAGGTGTAAAAACGAATGTGCGCGAAGCTACGGCGAGAGCCACATGTTGAAAACGTCCCACCCTCCATCCGTGAAGCTCTTGCACTTTGTTTAAAACGAATGTGCGCGGAACCAAGGCGAGAGACACAGTTTGGAAAAGACCCGCCCTCCATCTGTGAAATGGTTGTCATTGTTTAAGCTCCAGTGTCATAGATGGTGAGGACATCCAAAGGGAAACGCCCCGCCCACCCATAAAAAGTGGCCTGAGGAGGAGCAGGAGGAAGAGGAGGAGGAGAAGGGGTAGGAGGGAGAGGAGGAGGCGGAGGAGGAGGAGGTGGAGGAGGAGGAGGGGGAGGAGGAGGAGCGGGAGGAGGACGAGGAGGAGGAGGAGGAGGAGGAGGAGGAGGAGGAGGAGGAGTATGAGGACGGGAGGAGGACCAGGAGGAGGAGGAGGAGAAGAGCACGGAAGGAGAACGAGAAGGAGAACGAGGAGGATAACGAGAGGAGGAGGAGGAGGAGGAGGAGGAGGAGGAGGAGGAGGAGGAGGAGGAGGAGGAGGAGGGGGAGGAGCGGGAGGAGGAGGAGAAGGAGGAGGAGGTGGTGGAGGAGGAGGAGGCGGAGGAGGAGGAGGAGTAGGAGGAGCAGGAGGAGGAGGAGGAAGAGAAAGCGGAGGAGGAGCCGGAGAGAGGAGGAGAGGAGGAGGAGGAGGAGGAGGACAACGAGAAGGAGGAGGAGGAGGAAAAGAAGGAGAAGAAGAGAAAGAGGAGGAGGAGGATGATGATGATGATGATGATGATGAGGAGGATGAGGAGGAGGAGGAGGAGGAGGAGGAGGAGGAGGAGGCGGAGGAAGGAGGAGGAGGGGAGGGGGAGGAGGAGGGGAGGAGGAGGAGGAGGAGGAGGAGGAGGAGGAGGAGGAGGAGGAGGAGCGGGAGGAGGAGGAGGAGGAGGAGGGGGACAAGGAGGAGGACGAGGAGGAGGAGGAGGAGGAGGAGGTGGAGGAGGAGGAGGAGCGGAAGGAGGAGGAGGAGGAGGAGCAGAAGGGGCCTCGGGCGGCCACGAGCCGTGAGCCCCCGGGGGCTCTCGGTCGAGCCGGCAGCTGCGGCGGGGCTCGGCCCGTCCTCGCCGCCCGGGGCGGCTGGCGCGGGCAGCGGCCGCGGCGACAATCTTGGGTGAGCCTTCACTATCGTTATAGGCTTAACGACTTCTGCCGTCCGTCGACTCGCGCTGGAGCGGCCGCGAAGTGCTCGAACTTTCCCTGGAGATCTCTGGATTTACCTGGATTTACCTGGATTTATCTAGATTTACCTGGATTTACCTCGATTTATCTGCATTTACCTGGGTTTATCTGGTTCGATTCTCACAAGTCGATTGGCGAAAAGTCGACAAGCCCTAAGGGACACTAGAGGCCCCCTATATGGGGTCTGAACACATGGGGTCGGATCTCACCGCATCGCCGATACATCGGCGATGCATCGCCGATGCATCGGCCATGCACCGGCGACAGCGGCGATGCATCGGCGACGTCGGCGTGGAGAAAATTGGGCCCCACACTGAACCGCATCGCTGATGCATCGCCGACGCATCGGCGATGCGGAGCGATCCTCCGAATCGATCGACTTGTTCGGTGGCAAATCTTGGGAGCCTCCCGTACCATCATGTCGGATCTTGCGAATCGACGCTAATCGACGCTGGTCCACGCTAATCAACGCCGAATCGATGCTAAATCGACGCTAGATCGGCGCCATCTCATCGACTCCGAGACGCTGATCGACGCTAATCGACGCTAAAGACAACATAAAGAGGGTGACGTGAGAGCCAGCCCAGGCCAAGGGGAAACCGGGCGCCCCCCCACCGTGGGGTTGCCCGCCCTTGGGTACCGTTTCGGAACGAACTAAACGCTGTCTCCCACAATCCCCCCTCGAGCACCCAAGGGGCTCTGGCCTTGGCAGTAACAGGCCAATTTGGACAAGAAATGAAGCGCGCAGCCCCCGCACAACAATGCTCCCGTCCGACTCGGCGGTCTATGGACGTGCCAGCGTGGAAGGCTAGGCCACGCCCGGCACCGCGGCCCTGGGAGCAGGGCGTAGGCTGGTGAGAACTACGGGTACGCCCCCCCCAACGCCATACCCAATGCAAGACTTGGCATTTCTCTCCGCAGACCCGAAACCCTGCATGCACCAACCCACCACGCGTGCCACGCCACGCTAGACGCGCGCAACACACAAACGCACGCACGCGCGCGCAAATATACTCTACCCGCAAGAGTTGCCTCGGCGCAACACATGCTTATCGCCCGCCAAGTCGTTGGGGGCGGAGTCGCACGCGGGCGGGCGATTTCTCGCCCTCGCCCAAACTTCGCACACATTTCGCATGGAACTGGCGCTCCCGCGTGGGCGCTGCGCATGTCTTGCTCGCCAGACCGCGTGAAAGCGGCAGCGGAAGCGGAGCCGCGCGAGCGCGGACGAAATGCTGTCCTCGTTCACGCGCCGCTCATCGGCAATCTGGCCGCCCGAGAAGGCTAAATGATACTCGGCTACACGCAAGAGTGACCCTGGGTAAGAGTGACCTCTGGTGCGCGGTTTTGGGGGGGCCGCGGGGGGGCCAACCCCAAGCGCGCAAGACGCTACTATCGCACCGCACTCGGCGATCGCGGGACCCAAGCGGGCCCGCACCAAAGGTCACTCCAGCGAAGGGTCACTCTTACGTGTGGTCGAACCTGGCCGCACAAAAGAAGGCCAAATGATACTCTCGTCGCAGCGCCGCGCAGAGAGTTGGTGGCATTCCGGCCCCGCTGGAGCGCGATCCGCGTTTCTCCCCATCGCCGAGCCTTCGGAAGCGGCACCGCGCGCGAGCACATTCCGTTCGCTCGGTAGGAGCGATCTCCAGGTAAGAAGAAGCCAGGACGAGGATAACATCGGGTGGGGATACATCGAGAATCTCTGAGACCCCGCCGATCTGGAGGATGTCTCGGGCGCCGCGGCCTTCTCAGAGCGTTCCGGAACGCTCTGAGAGCGCCCTGGCACGCTGTGGAGCGGATGCATCCTCGCCCTGGCCCCGCCCGGCCAGGCCCAATGTCGGGTTGCGCCACAACCGATGTTCATGTTACTAGAGGCCTCCTAGATATGGGGTCCGAGTAGACGGGGTCGGAGGATCGCGCCGCATCGCCGATACATCGGCGATGCGTCGGCGATGCACCAGCGACGTCGGCGTAGAGGAAATCAGGCTCCACATCGAGCCGCAGCGCCGATGCATCGAGCGATGCGGCGCGACCCTCCGACCCCATCTACTCGGACCCCACCTAGGAGGACTAGATCCCCGACCCCCGGCGTCGTGATTTTTGTCGCACCGTCGACCCCCAGAGGTCTGGACCCCTTCCCCAGGACCGGTTTCTCATCCTGAATCATTTTGTTGACGGTCCCGAGGCCCGGTGGGGGTCCCTGGAGGCCGGAAGTGGCGAAAAACCTGCCGTCGTGACTTTTTCACAACGCGAAGGGGCCTTGGACGTAAGCGGGCTGACTGTGCCCCAATATTTGCCGATCCTCCGACCCCATCTACTCCGACCTCCGACCCCATCTGGGAGGCCTACTCCGAGTGTCTTAATAAGCGTCGGGGGGGGGGCGTCGCCCCCGCCGACAGCCCCACAACGACCCCAGTCGCGGGCAGCCACCGCGCGCCGAACGCGCTCCGACCCCGTTCGCGGCGCGACGACGAGGCGAGGTTGACCCCCGTCAGGGGGATACCCCCCCACGCTTATCAAGAAACCCAGAGTAGAGTTACGGGAGGGGGAGTGGGGGGCAGTGGGCGGGGCCCGCGGACTCCTTCGACCTGGCCACGGCTGGGCGCGGCGCCTGCTCGTGCTGCTCTCCTGCTGCAGCTGGCGCGGGACAGGCCCCGTGTCCCTGCTCCGTCTACCCGCTGCCTGCGGCACTCCCTCTCCTCCTCGTCCTCCTTTTCTTGCACTGGCCGCTGGGCGCTCCACCCATGGCGTAAGCCTCCTCCTCCTCCTCCTCCTCCTCCTCCTCCTCCTCCTCCTCCTCCTCCTCCTGGTGGCCCAGGTCAGGCGCCAGCGCGAGCGCCACCCCCGAAGAGGCCACACACCCACTTCCTTCCGCGGGGCGCATACCCCCCCATGGAATGCGCGGGCCTGGCGGCGACAGCGCCGCGATGGCAGCAGGTCTTCTACGCATTGTCCTGCACAACCCGTTGTGCACGAACACTCACTCCAGGCTTTCAGACATCGCGCACGAGATGGGCACCAAGGACATGAAAGGATTGGTTGGAACTCAGCTCAAGGGTAGAGGAGATGTAGTG